TTTTCTTGTTTCTTTATCCCTTTCCTTTCATTCTGTTCTATCCATTTCCTCTCTGAGATTAGGTTTTGGTTAAATTCACTCTTTCCTTTTACCTATCCAAATCCCTCTAATCCTATTTTTCCCCACAATTCTCCCTAACCCAATTAATTTCTGGTCTGCTGAATCCCTCTTTGGTGTTCTTAGCCCATTAATCCATAGTTGTTTGATGTTAAATAGATTGTATCTGTTGAACTAGATTGTATCTGTAGCCATTTTGACTATGCAACTACAGGGCTCTGGTTGATGCTTGCCTTAAAACAGTGTTCTAGCACAAAATTGGTGTTACTTTCATACCAAATGGGCAGAACAAGCCAGAGAAACACAAGAAAAATAGCAAGTCCAGGTATCTCAGCTCCCACTTAAGATAATCAGGTGACAGAACAGTTAATGAATAATCCAGAGGAGAGGTCCCAAAAAGCTCTACAAACACAACTGGTAAACATGGTGAATGAAAAGATTTAAAGCCTGCAAAGGACTCAGTGTGAGCGGGATAGGGAGCAGGACAAGGTTAACCAATGATTAATACAGGAACTCCATGAGCATGATGAGGCTAACCAAAAATTACTACAGGAATTTCATGAGCATGAGGAAGCTACTCTAAGATTAATACAGGAATGGCTTGAGCAGGCTAAGAACAGTCAAAGAGTAACACAGTAATTGCTTGAGCATGAGGAAGCTAATCAAAGAGCAATATAGGAATTGCGAGAGCAGGATGAGAATAGACAAAGATCAATAGAGGCATTCATGGAACCCATAAACAGACAGCAGAATGAATCCAGGGAGACCACAAAGGGAATGCTGAATGGAGCCCATCAGAAGGAAAGGGAGTCCAATGAAACCATAACCAATCAACTAAGGAATTTGAGAATAAACACTGAACACCAAATTTCAGAGCCTGTTTTTTCTAGAAGAATTTTTTTTTTTTGTCAGTCATGGGGCCTGAACTCTGGGCCTGGGCACTGTCCCTCAGCTCTTCAGCTCAAGGCTAACACCTTACCACTTGAGCCACAGCACCATTTGCAGCTTTTTCTGCGTATGTGGTGCTGAGGAATCAAACCCAGGGCCTCATGCATGCAAGGCAAGCACTCTACCACTGAGCCACCTCCTCAGCCCCTCCTAGCAGAATCTAAAAGAGGAAAGACAATACTCCCTGTGACTGAGTTGATGAACCGAAAATCATCTACTTCATCTCCTGTAGTGGAGTGATTGTTTGTGTCCCCACATCATTCATAGGTGAAAAGCTGAATCTCCAGTGTGAAGGACTCTGGGAACGGAGCAAGGGTTACATTAGGTGATAAATGCAGAGTTTCTATGATAGAATTGAAGCTCTTATGAAAAGAAGAGACTCTTTGAGTGCATATTCTTAGGAGAGGCCGCATAAGAACATAAAGGATAGGGAGGTTCTTCAAAAGATCAAAGTATATCTCCTTTAAGACCCTACCATACTTGGGCATGTGTGTGAAGGAACAGTTTATAAGCAAGATAGCTGCATTCACAGCTCTGTTCACAATAGCCACAGTGGAGGATCAGCTGAGGTACCCAACAATAGTGAATGGATAAAGAAAACACAGGACACATAGTATCATGGAATATTACTTGGTCACAAAGGAAAATGAAAATATTCCCTTTTTCTAGGAAATGGATGTATCTAGAAATCATCTTATTAAGATAAGCAAAGCTCACAAAGACAAATACATTAGCCAAGCTACACAGGTGACTAAGATCTGGAGGATTGAAGTGCAAGGCCAGCCCAGGGAGAAAAGTCCATGAAACTTCATCCCTAAAATAGCCAGCAAGAAACCAGGCTAGAATATGACTCCAGTGATAGAATGCCAGCTAAGCAAGCAAGCCAAGCAAACATCAAATTCTGAGTTCAAACCCTGGTGCTGGCAAAAAAAAAAAAAAGCTAAAAATCACATGTTCTTATTCATTTATGGAACCTAGAACTGAAATGATGATGATGATGATTAATATTCTTAATAGTAATGATAAATGATATGAATGTAAAAGGGGTACTGTCTTAGCGATGGGATCAGTGGGAAAAGAGAAAAGGAAAGGATACTGAGGAACAGACAGTATGGAAATATGAGCTAGACAGACAGACGGACGGATGGACAGACAGACAGACAGACAGACAGACAGACAGACAGACAGACAGACAGATAGAGCATAATGAAATCATCAAATCTCATCATTCAAACATTGTTGGAGGAAAGGGTGGAAGGGGAGAATGGAGAGATAAGAGAGGAGGTAAAATTGTTCAACGTACAATGAGTACGTATTTAGAAGCATCACACTAAAACTCTCATGTTGTTAGTATTCAAATTCAAAATACAGCAACAAAATAAAAGGAATATAAAGGAGAGAGAGAGAGTAGCAGGAGCAAAGGCTCACCTGATAGTAGGCACTTAATTTTTGTTGGGCTTCCCAGCATCTGGAGCTATGAGAAATAAATGCTTGTTATCTAAGCCACATAGTCTGATACATGATGCTGCTGCAGCTCCAACTAACACACAGTACCTTTCCCGGTCTTCCTCATTTCATCTGTTCTAGGTGACTTATTTGGAAAGCAATCCCAGTGTCTAAAAGCAACTAACTTCTCCAGACACTTCTACTACACTGCTCTATTTTCAAAATTGGGCAAAGGAATATAAGAAAACCTGTGTGATAAGGTGGGTAGTATTTTCTTCCCTGTTCCTACTAACAGGGAATCCAATGCCTTTAAATGGTCACCTGCCCTCGTTCAGTGCAATGCTGTGTCGCATCAGCCATTTGGTAAAGACTCAAATAATGGTAATAGCTCAGAGCTTTAATAATTCAGATCCTTAGCTGTCACAGTAAATCCATACAAACTAATATTTATTACTGCCAATTAGGATCAATGTCTGATACACATAAGGAGGAAAGCAACCTATGTAACCAACTTTTTACCAAGTGACTGGAGTAAAGAGTCATTTCCTTAACAAACTGCACCATATTAGGCACTCAGTGTTGAAGCTCCTCACTTTAACTTAAATAGCAACAGTGGAAAAACAGACTTGAATAGGGACCCTTCTGTTGGAGCCACACATAACCTCCATCACCATTATCATGTCGGTATATATACACAATGGAATTCTATGCCTCCATCATCATGACAAAATCCTTACGTAACTATTTGCTATAAATTGAAGCTGTCGATGTGAATTGAAAGTGTCAGTCCAACAGTAGTAGCTAAGAACATGTGGGCCTGGCTCACCTGTTCTCTAAGCTCAGTGTGTCTTCTGACCTTGCTGTTGCCTAAAGGGATTTACAGTTTTAAGGGCCTCAGCTCCCACTTGGCTTTTTCACTCAAGGCTGGCGCTCTACCACTTGAACCACAGCTCCACATCTGGCTTTTTGCTGGTTACTTGTAGATAAGAGTCTGATGGACTTTCCTGTTCTGGTTAGCTTTGGACTGTGATCCACAGATCTCAGCCTCCTGAGTAGCTAGGATTGCAGGCATGAGCCACTAATACCCAGAAATTTCATGTTTAGTGAAATTCCGCCAGAGGCAGACTGCCTGATGATGGAATTCTGCTATGTATAGCCAGCTGCACAGCTAAGTAGACTAAATATCTAGTTAAAAATTTGGCAATTGAGTCACACAGTAACTTGGTGAAACATTCACTCTGTACCTTAGTCCCAAACACTGTCCACACATATTGCATATTCAAAGAAAAAATACTATTAAACTTTTTAATATTTTCCAGTTTGGAAACTCAAATGCAACATGCATGTAATTTTGACTATAATTTGTTACTATTTTTGTTTTTTCACACATTATGTATCAATTTGTAGTACAAAGTGGTTTCTCTCCACATGTCCATGTGTGCCTAAAACGTAACTTGACCGAACACACCTCTTCCACCGCTCTGTGTGACCATGCTGCCCACTATTCTCAAGCCAAATGCATCAGGCTTCATTGTTCTATGTCACATATGTACATAAAATATGTGGATCATATTCATTCTATTACCTACTCTATGCACCCTAGCCCCTTTTACTAGTACCCATACCCCAGACAGACATGAGATTGGAGTGGTCAAATACAATTAAAGTACAATATATTCGTGTGAAAAATGTGGAGAAACCCCTGTAAAAGATTTATACATACTCACTTATTACTATCAGACACACTAAAAGAACCTAGTAAATGGAGATTTCAGGTTCATAGAATGCCATGCTAATTTAACTTTCCTGCCAATTTTCTTACCGACTAACTTGCTTGAGGTAAAAGTCTGAGATATGTTTGCTTTTATTTTTTATTAATGTGGTGGTTGTATATATTAAAAAGGGTTGTTGGTACTATTTCAGTGCATATATACAGCATGTGCTGAACATGCTACTCTCAATTTTTTCACGACATGTTCACATGTATTCATGCACCTATGTGTCTTAAAAAAAAAAAAAGAAGTAATCCCTACCAGTGTATCACACCTGTAACCCTATTTATTCAACAGGCTGAGATCTCAAACTCGCAATTCAAAGCCAGCCCAGGCAGGAAAGTCCATGAGACTCTTATCTCCAATTAATCACTAAAAGCCAAAATTGGAGCTATGTCTCAAGTGGTAGAGCACTAGCCCTTAGCAAAGCAACTAAGGGACAGCACCCAGATTCTGAGCTTAAACCCCAGAACAAAGCAACTAAGGGACAGCACCTAGATTCTGAGCTTAAACCCCAGAACCAGCATATACACAAAAGAAGTGAGATATAAATAGATAAAAATAGCAACAAAAGATTAGCAAACACACATACACACATACACATCTCAATATTTTTGAAAAGTAAAATGGGAAAACAATGTAAAAAGTAGTTTTACATCGTTGGTGTAAAAACAAGAATACCAACTATAAAATTCAGAAAACATATTTAAATTACAAGACTGGGCAACTACAGTCTTCTAGACATTTATTATTTTAACGATGAGCTTCACATGGTCTTCACTTTTTTGTAAAAATGATCTTACTGATCATGTCTCTGAAGGCTGTTTTCACTTGCTTGTTTCGCAGCGAGTAGATGAATGGGTTCAACAGAGGGGCAAGGGAGGTGTTTAAAACGGCCACTCTCTTATTAAAATTGGCTGCCTCTTTCACAGAAGGATTTATGTACATGAAGATACAGCTGCCGTAAGAAAGTGAGACCACAATCATGTGAGAGGAACATGTAGAGAAAGCTTTCTTTCTCTGCTGAGCAGAAGGGAATTTCAGGATGGTCCTGACAATGTATGCATAAGAAAGAATCACCAGCACCAAGGTGAGAATCAAGGTCACGGCGGCGAGGACAAACTGAAGCACTTCGATGGCATGTGTGTCTGAACAGGATAAATGCAGCAGAATGGTATAGTCACAGCAATAGTGATTGATGACGTTCGAGGCACAGAATGGCAGCTGAAGAGTCATCGTATGCGGCACAATGACAACCACAAAACCAGAGAACCAGGAACTTAGGACAAGGACTTGGCAAAGTCCCCTGTGCATGATTGCTGTGTAATGCAAGGGTTTGCAAATGGCAACGTAGCGGTCATAGGACATGGCAGCTAAGAGGTAAAATTCCGTCGCTCCCAGAAGGATTGCAAAAAAATACTGGGTGAAACAAGCAGCAAAGGAGATAGTCTTGTCTCCAGTTCCAATGTTGACTAGCATTTTGGGAACAAAGACAGAGGTAAAAGATACTTCCAAAAATGCGAAATGACGGAGGAAGAAATACATAGGAGTCTGGAGGCGATAATCCAGCAGGGTCAAAGTGATGATGACCAAGTTGCCCGTGATACTGAAGATATAAGTGAAGAACAGAAAAAGGAAAAGTGGGGCTTGAAGCTTGACATCATTTGTTAGTCCAAGAAGAATGAACTCTGTCACTGAGGTTTGGTTTCCCATCATCAACTTCAGGCAAGTCAAGGTAGAAAATAACAGCAGTGTCATTGTAACAAGACTGAAGGTTCATGATTCTTACTGAAATACAATACTAGGGAGAAGGAGCAATCAAAAGCTAAAATTTTTAAACTCTGAATTGTTTTCTACACTTGCTGTGGGGGAAAAAATTCTATCTAGCAAAAAGAAAAAAGTCACCTATACCTATTTTATTTTTTAAATAACAAAAGTCCCGTTTCTTTGGAACAGGTTGAATTATTTTAAGTTATATGAGTAATTATCTTCACACTTGTTTATATTTTCCCTTCTTATTCTTTCTATTCTGATTTTTCTCTCTCAAGTTACTGGATGCTGCCACATTTGCAAAGAACTAATCTGGGTTTGTTGTTTTCTTTTGTTATTGTTGCTGTTGTTGTTTTGTATTCTTTCTTTTGTGTGGTATTTTGGATTATGATAACTGTGTGCATCTGCAACAGCTCAAGACCTGCATAGTTTTCTCTAACACTTGAGCCATACCTCTAGCCTGGCTTCTTGCCAGTTATTTTGGAAATACAGTCTCACAGACTTTTGCACAGGCTGATCTTGAACCTCAGTCCTTTGGATCTCAGCCTCCTGAGGAGCTAGGATGATACATGTGAGCAACCAACACCCAGTTGAATTCTTTTTAAAAAGTAATTTTATTTTTATTAGTAAGGCATTATACAGAGGGGTTGCTATTTCATAAGTCAGGTAATGAGTACACTACTGCCAGCTGAATTCTTTCCTTTTTTTCTTTTTTTTAAAAAACATCAGTTATGGGGCTTGAACTCAGGGCCTAGCCTCTGCTCCTGAGCTCTTTTGCTCTAGGCTAGTGATCTATCACTTTGAGCCACTGCATCACTTCCAGTTTTCTGATGCTTATTTGGAGATAAAAGTCTCACGAACTTTCCTACTTAGGCTGGCTTTGAACCACAATCCTCAGATCTCAGCCCCCTGAGATGCTAGGAATACAGGTGTGAGCCACCAGCTCCCAGCTCTGAATTCTTAATAGTGTTCAATATTCTTGTCAACTACTATTGCTAGCTGATGGCAAGGACTTATTAAATGCCCTAAAAACTCATTTAATGTAGATGTGAAAAAATATTAACAAGATAATGCTTCATCCTACCCAAAATAAAGATTCTTTTTCATTTTAACAAGTGTTTTACTATATATATTGGTATATTCTTATATTCCAATATGTAATTTGTTTACAATAGTCACAAATATTTTATATTTTGGGCTGGGAAGGTAGCTCAGTGGTAGAGTACTTGCCTTGCATGCATGAGGCCCTGGGTTCGATTCCTCAGCATCACCTAGACAGAAAAAAGCCAGAAGTGGTGCTGTGGCTCAAGTGGTAGAGTGTTAGCCTTTAGCTGAAGAGCTGAGGGACAGCACCCAGGCCCAGAGTTCAAGCCCCATGATTGGCAAAAAAAAAAAAAAAAAAATATATATATATATATATATATACACATATATATATATATATATTTTATATTTTGTAAGCTAAAATTCCAAATGTATTTAACATAGACAAAAGGGCAGCTAATACCAAGTTAGAAATTTTATTGAATAGTAGAATTTATATTAGAAAAGTTTCAGTGCACCTAATATTATAATGTGAACAATTTCTACTTTTGGAGAAGACAGTCTTTTGTTAAAAACTTCACAAGCTAATTGTAAGAATCAAAGACATTAGCATTGTTGGACCCCAGTGGTTGTATCTGTAATCATAGTTACTCAGAAGGCTGAGATCTGGGGACCGCCATTTGACTCCAGACCAGGCAGGAAAATCTGTGAGACTGTAACTCCAATTACTCACTAAAAAACCCGGAAGTAGAGCTGTTGCTCAAGTAGTAGAGTGTTAGCCTTGAGCAAAAAGGTTCAGGGACAGCACTCCAGCCCTGAGTTCAAGCTGCAGGACGGGCACACAAAAGAATTAATACCATAAAGATATTAAATGCTATGGAGTTATCCAGTATTAGCTTAAAAATTCTGTTATATTAGTGAATAATCTGAATCTTTGTGCCAAATATATAAATTTAACTTACTTGAAATTATGAGTATCTACATCTGAGTACATTATCTAATAGAATGTATACTTACTACAGAAAAATAAAATGAATGGAAATGACTTTTTTTGTTCTTGATGTGGTTTTTGTTGTCTTTTCCTTTTGTTTTGTTTGTTAGCTTACTTGTTTTGGTGAAGGTAAGGGGAGGCACAGAAATAGAGGGACAAAAGGTGAACAAATGCAGCAGTGGTGCTCACTAGACACCCTGTGGAAAATGAACTTTACAACTTGTGGGTGGGGATCCAGCAGGGAAAATCTAGGAGAGAGCAAGGGAAGGAGGCAACATTGCTCAAGAAGACATGCACTCATTACCTGACTAATGTAACTGTAACCCCTCTGTGTATCACCTCTACAACAACAATAAAATATATTTTTAGAAAAAGAAAATGGAAAATTAAAGAAATGTATAAATAACACATTTTACAAAAAAAAATTTATGTTCAAAATCTTGTGCTATGACATTGTTAAAGCTTTGAGTCTTGTGATTTAATCTATTAGAAATGATTTTTATCTTTCTACATGAAAATAGCTAGAATATCTCAAATAATTTCAAGGTACCAATCTTAATCTTGTGGCCTAAGGCCCAGAGTTCAGGCCCCACGACCGGACCCCCCCCTCCAAAAAAAAAAACTTTTATGTTCTGAATTTTCCATTTCTTACATAATTCTTTTCTGACATAATAAAAATTATAAATTATTCTTGAGTTGATTGTGAAAATATCAATGAGAATCAACAATGAGAGCAAAACAATTTTTTATATTAGTAGAAATCTTACTTAGAGGAGCACTGGTAGCTCATGCCTATAATCCCAGTTACTTGGGAAGGTCAGATCCAAAGATCAAGGTTCAAAGCTGGCCCTGGGCAGGAAAGCCCATGAGAATCATCTTCAATTAACCATCAACAAACAAAACAGAAGTGGAGCTATGGCTCAAGTGGTAGAGCTCTAGCCTTGAGCACAAAAGTCTGCAGACAGCACCCAGGCTCTAAATTCAAGCCCCAGGACCAGAAGCAATAACCAAAAAAAATCTACTAAATAAATTATTAAAATGGTAACTTTTTCATAAGAAAAATTCATATCAAACATTTCAAATGTTTTAAAGGATAATAATCTTTTATAATAATGACTATTGCATGCAATGACTCATATAAGATTTTATCAAGTAATAAATACCTGACTCAAGTTTATTTGGCAAAAAAAGATTTACATTCTAGAAGGTAATTTTGAAAAGGCAAGTTTTATTTGTACTTAAAAGAAATTTCCAAGAGAAGGTGTTTCCCAAACTTTTCCATATTCATTCAGTTACAGATCATTTTTTCCAAAGTAAAATCATGCCTAGAATTAATTATATGACTGCCACATTTACCCTATCTCCTTCTGTTGATGCCCTCTCATATTTAAGTACTCCTTACAAAGGAATTGTTCCAGGATGAAATTGTTGAGGACAAAAATAACAAAACAGCATCCATAGGAAGTGAGAAGAAGTATAGGATGAAAATGGCATTGGATGTATTTTGACCCTCTAAGCTCTACATGCATAAGAATGGTATAACATTTATTCTAAAAAGTACATTTATACAATAAAATCCTATGTGTTGGATTGTATCTGTTTTTGTGGAAATCAATGTAAGTTTATTCCACAAAAAAAGAATGTGTATGCAGCTAGATCAATAAAGATGAACTTAGATCATGCAGTAAAGCAAAGAGTGCACCATGATCCTCTAGTTAAACACAAGCATCACCAGCCCTCTCCTACCTTATGGAGGGAGTCAGTCCTACTGTAGATCCCTCTGTGATGAGCTGGAGAATATAAAAGTGAGGACCCATTGGGAAATGATCCCTGGGCCATCAGACAGTAAAAATGGAAGGAAGCTATTTATAGCAAGATGAAGATAAACATAAAAATTACATAAATATGTTCATTCATTCACTTCATCTTTATAGGTAATACCTCTCGCACAAAGACTACATATTCTTTCCTGTCTATCATGATTTTCGAAGGTTTACTAAACTCCATATCAATTCAAAATATATATGCATACTGTAAAAAAATACAAGTTCAACTGAAAGCTACATTAGTAGTGCCACAAGGAATTGTCTGTTGTTGTTTTAATTTTTTTATTATCTTTAAGTAGTTGCACAAAAGAGTTTCCATTTTGGCTGTGATGCATACCCCCTCCTGAAGATCTCATGCTCAGAAAGATGGCTCTTAAAGCAGATGCTTATAGTTTATGTTGTGTTAACCTTTGTAATGACCTAATATGTGTACTTCTATCTTACATATGCATCATTAAGACCACTCAACAATTCCCTCTGCCAAGTAAAGAAAAAAGGCCTTTTCCACCTGCTCTTCCCACATGATCGAGATTTCCATCACCTATGGCAGCTGCATCTTCATCTATGTGAAGCCTTCATCCAAGGATTCGATGGCTGTCAACAAGGGTGTGACCATCCTCACCACCTCCATCGCTCTTATGCTGAACCCCTTCATTTACACCTTGAGAAACAAGCAGATAAAATAGGTCTTCAGTAACACAATCAAAAGAATTTCATTGTTGTGAAAGAAAGGAAATTCTCCATTGTAAAATAATAGCTTTAGATACATTTTGATGGAAAGAACATTGATTTTTCTGCATATGTCTTTGCATTTGGACCTCATCCTTTCCTAACAATTTCAAAATAACTCAGAAGGGAAAAAAGAAAAAGAAAAAAACCCACAGTACACATACACAAGGAAACAACCTAGTGTATAAATAATGATTTAGTGTATCAATAATCCTTGGTAAAACCACAAATAAAGTGAAACAAAACCAATAAATACATCATGTATTTTCATTTGGGTAATTATGCATATTAGAGAATATTCTTACTACTGAACTACACTTGAGGCACTGAGGATAGAATAGAAAACCCAAAGATCTCTGTTCTTCTTCCACACCTCACTTTTTTCATCTTATGGTAAAGATTATGTATAGAAGGATAAAATTACATAAGTCAGGTAATGCGTACATTTCCTTCTGAACAGTGTCACACTCTCCTTCATTCTCTCCCAGTTTTCCCCCTCCCAAATCCCCCCAATCCAAGTTGTATAGTTCATTTCCAACATAGTCTCTGTGGGTTTCACTCCTGAATAGGTTCAACCTTTGTCCCACCATTTGTGTGCTTTCTCTTCCCCTCCCCAAATCAAATAAATTTATACACAAGACAAAGGATACAGAAATCAAAAACAGTGACAGAAGGGAATAAACCAAGTAAAAAGTAAACGAAAGGGGCCAAAAATAATGAAAAGGGGACAAAAATAAAGAAGTACGAACGATGCAATAACAAACCTCCTGATTTCATTCTTGGAGTTCATTTCAATAAATATCAATTTATAAGATTATACACACATAGCCATTGAGCTCCGTGTTCCTCTCCCAAGAATACCCTCCTTTGCTCAAACTAAGTGAATCTTTAGACTGACATTTAATTAATCATGTCCAAGGGTCGTAATTTGTCTTTTCCTATCCATTGAGTTTACTAATAGATTTATAGGCACATTCTAATTACTAAAATGAGGGAAAACATGGAGCCTCTATTTCTTTGGGTCTGGCTTACTTCACCTAGTATAATTTTTTCTTAACTCTTTCCATTTCCTTACAAATGGAGCAATGTCATTCTTTCTGATGGAAGCATAGAATTCCATTGTGTATATATACCATATTTTTTGATCCATTCATCTCCTGAGGGGCATCTGTGTTGATTCCATATATTGGCTATGGTAAACAATGTTACAAAGAGCATGGTTGTGCTGGTGGCATTAGTGCAGCCTAATTTGTGGTCAAATGGATAGATGCCAGGAGTAGGATTGCTGGATCACAGGGAAATATTATGTTTAGTCTTTTGAGGAACCTCCATACCGCTTTCCAGGGTGGTTGAACAAGTTTACATTTCTATCAACAGTGTATTAGTGTTCAGCATTTGTTATTAATAGTTTTCTTGATAATTGCCATTGTAACTGGAATGAGGTAGATTGTCAATGTTGTTTTGATTTCTTTTATGGCCAGAGATGTTGAACATCTCTTCATGTGTCTTCTTCAGAGAAGTCACCCTTTAAGTCTTTAGCCCATTTATTAATTGGGTTACTGTTTCTTTGAGGATTTGTTTTGGGAGGTTTGACTTTTTAAGCTCTGAGTATATTTGATATGAGGCTCTTGTTTGATGCATTGCTACTAAAGATCTTCTCCCATTCTGTGTGCTTTCCATCTATCTTGCTAGCTATGTCATTTGCCGTACAGAAATTTTTTTGGTTTGATGCAATCTCATTTATCCAGTCTTTCTTTTTTTTAATGTTTTTTATTGCGAAAATACTGTACAGAGGGGTTCCAGTCTTTCTTTGATTTGTTGTGATTCTGGATCTTTACTTAGGAAGTTTCAACCTGTGTCTAGGAGCTTTAGTGTTTCCCCTACCCTTTCCTGTAATATTTTCAGGCTATCTGATCTTACATTGAGATCTTTGATACATTTGGAATGGATTCTGGTGCAAGGATCTACCTTCAGTTTTCTGCACTTGTATAGCCAGCTCTGCCAGCACCATTTGTTGAAAAGATTGTCTTTCTTCCATCATTTGTTTTTGAATCCCTTATCAAATATTAGGTGGCTATAGTTCTATAGGTTCATTTCTAGGTTTTCCATTTGATTCCATTGGTCCTCAGGCTTGTTCATATGCCAGTGCCAATCTGTTTTTATTACTACAACTTTGTAATAGAGTTTGAAGCTTGGTTGGTATTGGTATTTCTCCAGCACTATTCTTCTTGCTATTCAGGACCTTCTGTTATTTCCATATGGATTGTTTCTTCTATATCATTAAAGAATGTCATTGGGATTTTGATGCATATTGCATTGAACTTTTAGATAGCTTTGGGCAGTTTTGTCATTGTCATGATATTAATCCTTCCAATCCAGAAGCATGGGAGATTTCCCACTTCCTAAAATCTGCTTTAATTTCCTTTTTCAGGTTGTTAAAGTTTTCATCATATATGTCCTTTAATGTTTGGTTACATTAATTTCTAGGTATTTTTGAAGCTATTACAAATGGAGTTGTTGTCCTGACTTCACTCTCGCTCTTTTCACTGTTGACATACAGAGATGCTACAGGATTTTGAGAGTTAATTTTATACCCTTCTACTTGCCAAAGTTTCAGATTGCTCATGTAACTTGCATCCCCCACATTTTAGTGAGATTTCATCTTGCCTGAGTTAGATTGGCAAGCATAATAAAACTGAACAACAAATGATGTTGGCAGGGATGTGGGGGAAAGGAACCATATTACACTGCTGGCAGAATGTAATCTAGTACAATCACTTTGGATGTCAGTCTGGAGGTTTCTCAAAGAAATAAACAAAAATCTTCCTTTGACCAGCCTTACCACTCCTGGGCATCTACCCAGAACATCACAAGCCAGGCTATCATAAAGACACATGCACATCCATGTTCATTGCTATACTATTCACAATAGTCAAGTTGTCGGAACAGCTCAGATGCCATACAGTAGATGAGTGGTTCTAAATATGGTGCCTATACACAATGGACTTTTACATGACCTTTAGAAAAACAAAATTTGTCATTTTCAGGGGAATGAATGGACTTAGAACTAAACAGGTAAGCCAAGCAAAGAGAGACAAACAGTGCGTGTTTTCTTTCATATGCAGACACTAGACCAAAAACAAACTGGAACACCATAAATTACACAATACTCTACACATTCATACACAGACCAAAAGTGAACACTTTTAGGAGAGGAATACAATGGCACAATGTCTATGTGCACCATACCATACAAAATAATATTTATCAAAATGAACTTTAGGAAAAGAAAACAAGAGGTGATTTTTCCTTTTTGTCTTTTGTGATTTCTTTTTCTTTTATCTTGTTTGTTCATTTATAGGTTTTGGGAGGATACGGAGTAACACCGAAATGGAGGCACAAAGGGCAAACAAAGACAGTAGTAGTATTCAGTAGACACTGTTGAAAATGAACATCACAATTTGTGGGTGGGATGGGAGAGAAAAACTGGGAGAGAGAGCATTTCTAAAAGGAAATGCTCTTTTTACTGACTTATGTAACTCTAATCTCTCTGTGCATCAGGTTTTAATAACAATTAAATAATTGTATTGCAATATTATAAACTGGGTAGAGGCAAGGGGCAAAGATTCTCAGTTTCAAATGCCCTTGAGCTTTGAGATCTTGTCACAATAATTTGTATATTATTAGCATATTTTGCATCTTAAAAATAGGCAATAAAAATTTAAATAGGAAAACACCTTTATAAATATGTAATTTATAGGCCACAAAGTAGAAGTATAAGTTATAATTGTTCAATTACATGATTTTTACTAGTACTCACAAAATTGTGTGCATCACCATAATCTAAAGTTAGAACATTTTTTTCACTCCCAAAAGGAACCTTTTACCCAATAACAATTACTCATTAATCTATTTCTACATTTCCTCACAGCCATTAATACCCTTTTTGTTGTCACTCAAAGGATACAGAGTTTCAATTGGACAAGAGCAATAAGTTTTGACACCTACTGAATAGCAGGTTGACTGCACTCAGAAACAATATCTTGCACATTATAAAGCACCTCAGACAGTAAATTCAAATCTATAATCCAAAATAAAGAAAGAAAAGGTAAGCTGGTTAATTTAATCATTCCACATAATATGCATATACTACTTGTAAGATAAATTTATTTAACACATGATAATTTCATATAGTAGAATCTACTGTTTTTTGTTCTAGGAGAAATTATATGTCAAAATTTGAAATCCAAAAAGATTGATTTTAAATCATATGGACCTCTAAGAAGTCGGAGGAATTCCTGAGTATTAAACTTTAAATATCAAAAATGTGAATGCATGAAAAATGCATTTCACAGCATTATTCACCATAGCTAACATATGGAACCAATCCAGATGCCCCTCAGTAGATGAATGGATCAAGAAAATGTGTGTGTGTGTGTGTGTGTGTGTGTGTGTGTGTGTGTGTGTGTGTGTGTGTGTGTGTGAATTCTATGCCTGCATCAGAAAGAATGACATCACCCCATTAGTCAGGAAATGGAAAGACTTGGAAAAAAATCATATTAAGTGAAGTAAGCCAGGCCCAAAGAAACATAGGTCCCATGGTTTCCCTTATTTGCATTAACTAGTATATGTCTAGGACAAGCAGAAAAGGTCAAAAGCTATGCACATATGACCATATTAGATGATGGTAAGCAAAATGAACCCCAAGATAGGGACACAAGAGGTTTTATCTTTGTTGCTGTTGTTTTTAATGTACTTATAATGTACTACGTGATTTTTTTTGTTTCTGTTGTATGTTCTTCCCCCATGGTATAACCTCTGTTTTCACTGTATTTTATTCTGGTGTCCTGCATTTTGTATATACATTTTTCTAATTTGGGAAGGGGAAGGGAAATAACAAAATGCTGAAAAAAGGATACAGGTTTGCATATTGTAACAATGAGATGTACAAAATACT